CAAGGGCAGAAGTGATATCGTTCCCGCGATGCACATGGCTTCTAGCAGAAGCGTGTCCGTGGGCGGAAGTGACGTTGTCCACCTGATGCGTCACCGTCTTGGGCAGTAAATTCAAAATCTTTGGCGGCAGTTGAAGAGCCGGTGGCGGGAATTGCCGCTGCTTGCATGCCCCCTCCTCCCTCTTCTGCTGTCGGATCCCCTCGGTGGATTTCATCAAGGATTGAAGCTGCGGCATGCAGGAGGTCGGCGGGGCGGGTGTGTGCTGCACGCAGTGCTTTCCCCGAAGGTGGCGCGCTCATAGTTGCCTTTGCAGGCTGAATGTCAGCCTTTGGGGCGGCTTCTCCATCATTTGGCGGTGTAGTCGCCCCAGGAGCAAGTGCAGCATCGTCGTTCGGAGCCCAGGTACGTGCACGACTCCTTGTCTCCATATCTAGTTAGGTCTTCAGCCACTTCTGACGCTAGTTGTGTTGGTAATGATTGAGACCCAGTCTTCACTGAAGACAACACTTTTGTTTATAACAATAACAGTATAGGGTCCTTAACACAAAGGGGTAACAGACCCTTCCACCCGATACCTGGGGAGGTACAGCCTCCGGGTTATCGTGCTCTCTATCACTGGGACCACTCTATATCTCAGTCCTCTGGCTAGGGGCCCTAGGGGACACTAGCCTGACCCGACCCAGCCAAGGTCCTCGGGTCCTGGCCACTGGCTCACACGGTCCCAGCCCAAAGAAGGATTTCGGGTCCGGGGGTTCCCAGGGTCCGTCCACTGGCCCTCTCAGTTCCGGTCCTACGAAGGACAGTGGGTGCGGGGGTTCCCAGGGTCCGATTCTAAGCTGGCTCTTAGGGTCTACGGCTTGACGACGACAAGCAAAGCTGTTCAGAGGTCCGACTTATATATGGTGGCCAGGTTCACTCTGCCCCTGGCAACGCCTACTCTCTAGAACCTTCTTGAGGGACCTGGACTATTGCGTAATCCCCCAGCCCCCACTGGGGGCTTGGGGTGTGTACCTCCGGTTCCCAACCGCCCTCATGGTTCCCGAGCTTCATGGCTTTGCCTGGTACAGACCGGACTCGCTGTTGCCCCCTGTTGTTACATAGCTGGCGCTACATCAGGGCGGTAGTGTTGACGGCATGTTAGGTTACAATGACCACTACATATGTATGTTGAACATCTTTCGCACGGTACGTAGCCAACTGTGCTAATCCCAGGTGCGGGGGAAGGACAGCAAACTTCAATCTGCATTTAAAAGTGCATAGCTCCAGTGGCTTCCGAATACGCTTGTTTATCCAAGAAAGCCTCACTGCGTCTCATGTCTCTTCTTCAGAAGGGTCCTGCCACGTTTTTTGCAGTTGTAGTCAATGCCTCCTATGTATATCTATCTTGAGTAATTTACACCTGTGTCCATTTGTGTCTTCTTGCGTCACTGTACATGTGTGATTGTGTCTGTGTTATTTGGGGAGCGGTAGGGTAGACGTTACCGTGCAGCGCTACGAACCCAGCGACCCGAGTTCGATTTCCGCTCACGGCCAAGACCAGTGACGATTATCTGAACCGGTCCTGGGCTTCACCTAGATCGACTCAACCTCAAATGAGTATCCGGTATGGTGTGTGACCATTGCCACTGGGGAGACAAATACGGCCAGGCCTGCTGCTGGCTCGCCACCCCCTCGTGTGCTGTTCCTGCCTTCAAAGGTGCTCGCTAACAGTCTGTTACAGGATAAACGGAGGATCTTTGACTTTGTATTTGCGTGATTTGTGGGGAATTCTAGTTTAGCGTTTAGCGCGCTGCGCTACGAAGCTAGCGACCCGGATTCAATTCCCACTCACAACCAACACCAGCGACAATTATCTGAACCGTTCCTGAGACTCTCCAATGTCGACTGCTGCAATGTGTAAACATCGCTACTAGGTAGACAAAGGCGGCCGGGCGTGCTGCTGGCCACCCACTCCTGGTGTGCTGTGCTGGCCTTTATAGGTGCTCGCTAAAAGCACTTGCCCCAACAGTGTGTTAATGCTATATGATGGATATTTGTCTTTGCATAATTTACATAAGCCTACAGCTTGCTTTTAAATAAACGTTCAATACTTTCTACATAAGGCTCAATCCATTTTCTGCAAGCCTACAGCGTGCTCTCCAATTAATTGCCTGTTATATATACAATGGTAATGCCCTCATGTAACATCTAACAGTGATGGACTTTGTTAGGTTTGGGATCGTCATGTTTTCACTCCACGCAATTGTGTGATAGGATCAAGCTCCAAAATTACTTCATGACGTTAAGTGTGGTTTATTATTCACAATTATGTTCACGTTTGTACTTGCGTACCAGTTCTATATCACTGCATCACTGCTGCCTGTCATTCGGATAAATTTGGTCACGTTTATTGTGACGGTGACCGAAGACAAGTGGTCCACAATGTACATCTTCACTTAATACTCGTGAGGGTTTTCGAATCTTGCACAATAGTCAATAGCTTTTTACACGCTTCTACATTGTTGTTTGAAACTTATGCTTGCCGAGAGGGAGCGTCAGCCAGCCACGGTTACGTTGGGGCATGATATGCTGGTTGACCAGCTGACACGTGACAGGATGATATTGGAGGGAGGCTACCGGTGGACAGGGCGGTTACGTGGTCCATTAGAGCTCTCGGGAATCTTCAAGAAAGAGCTCAAGAGACCTGGAAGGTGGGCGGGTCGAAGGGCGGAGCCAGCTCCAGCCCAGGGGCATATAACCGGTGCCCCGTGAGGAGCTCGATGTTATGCGTGTGCTGGTGATACGAAGATCCACGTCGGGGAGAAGAAGCCTCTAGCCACGCGGTCCGGGACCCAGCTTGTGGTCCGGACCGGGATAGCAAACCGTGTCTAGTTCTGCCGTAGCGTGGTTAGATGGGCATTCAAGACCCGAGTGTAGATCCTGTTATGTTGCGTGCTGTTGTTTAATAAATAGTGTTGCTCCCAAGATAATGTCTGCGACTCAGTTGGAGTCACTGCACAATGTTGTTTGAAACTTCTGCTTGCTCAATATCAAATATTCACGATATGCATTTCACAATAACAATGATCGAGATATCTGTTTCCCATGACTTTGTAATGTATTTGACATTGTCTCCTTTCCTTTGCTTTGATGAACAGTGTGGTTGCATGAAATGAAGGGAGCTGCTGTGGTGCCAGGTTTAATAGCACACTCGACTTGCAATCCAGTTCTCGATTCAATTTCCTGGTGCGGCAGTTGAAACAAAGGGGTACATTGCATGAATCCACTAGTCTCTGTCCACCCAGCAGTGTAAGGTTATTTTTTGGTATTTGTCTATTGGTTACGTATTGCAAACGTTACTTATTGCTGCTTTGCATGTCAAAATGAGATTGTATCTACAGTTCTGTAGCTGGGATTGAGATAGGAGGTGTTAATCTGCAGTGACTTTCTCTGTCTCTTCACGAGCCCTGCTACATACAGTACGTGTAACACATACTCGACAGAGTCACACACAAAGGAAATATCCACACATCATGGCGTGCATCTTGGCCGTCCACTCGTTGAGGATGTCATGTAACTGTGATGTACACACACAGACGACACCCATTACGCCGAACTCCGACATTGATTGGATTTTTGAAGATCTGGACGAATAGGCAGGTGAGGTTCGCCGATTCGGTGTTAGGTCCGAGTTTTCGATTTGAGTTCAGAATCAGAAGGATTATTTAGCCTGAAAGAATCCGATGAGCTATAAAGCTCTTTTAACCGATATCCGTGGAGCAGGATGAGTAATGGTGCAGCTTGGGGATGCGCGGCTAACATCAGTGGCGAGTGGTTACGTGAACTGCACCTGCTCCCCATCCCGTCACCACGCGCCCCCACATCATAAAAAATGACAGCCATCATCCAGCAGTGAATTTGATGGTGGTGATAAAAAATATCTCAATATGAAAGCACACCCCCTATGAATGGCGGTGTGAGTGTGTGTGTGTGCCTGTGTCGTGAAGGACATGACTGTTCAGTTGGAGGCAGTCGCCCTCCAACAACAAAGGAGGGCAGAGGAGCGACGCTCACAACAACGAACGCAGCGCCGGGTGGATAAAGTGGAGCAAGATGGCATCTCGGTGAGTCGACACATGGCACCTGGGTCTGTCCCGTGACTTGTCAGAAAGCTCTCGACACTTAACGCGGCCTTAAAGTGCACTTGGCCTGGCACAGTCGCCGTGTTGACGTCACCGCCACTTAGTGGTAAATTTCGGCTGTTGTTGTTGGAAGGTACCACGTGGTGACTGTTAAGCGCCGTGCGGTTTACACGTTCCAGCGCCCCTCACAAGAGGTGAACCGGACTCGACGATCAACTCTTATACCAAAATGGTTCATCGATTCGTCAAAAGTTGATCGATTTATCGACCATCGATTATTAAATCTAGCAGGAGAGATGGAAAGAGGGAGGAATTTATTTTCATGGGGCGAGTCATATTCAAATTAGGACAATGGCGGGTTGTGATTGGCTGCGAGCGTCCCTGAGAGCGTCCCAAGGTCACGCTGTAGCTCCTGTGTCGAACTCTGGGAGAAGTTTGAATCGACCAATGGGAATCCGACATTATCCATCTCATTTGCATGTCACCCCCTCCTTTGTATCGACGCAAATCAGTTGAATCTTGGCAAAACATTTCGACATGCTCAAAGCAAATTGCTTAAACTAGCCACTTTGTTGGTATGAACAATTTGAACTAAACATATGTTTTTTAAACGTATACTATTGTTTCAAGGATTGCAGATGGGAGGTATAGGGGTACCATACCAAAGGAGTTAAGATGTCCTGTGCTGTATAGGCTGCTACGGGGCTACTTGTGGATTGCAGAGCAGTAGAGCAACACAATCCATTGTACCATGCTATGCGATGTTTCGATCATCAACTTTACGAAGAAAATAAGACGAAGAAAATAAGGTGATGAAAACATGGTGGCATCAACATTTCAAAGTTTTTATTCATTTCATGTCATTACAACAATCACGGTGCTTGTTGTTCGGCAAAGTGGCTTCCGAGTGAGTCGCTCAGTTGGCAGCCATGGTGCTGGCGATCCAGGAGTTGTAGTTGCACACCTTGGTGTACACGCCGGGGTAGTTGGGCAGGGCACAGCCGCGACCCCACGACACGATGCCCTGCAGCTGGCCATTGCACACGACGGGGCCGCCGGAGTCATTCTGCGGTGGCGGCATCAGGGGTTAGAGGGTCAGGGATTAGCAGCTGGCTCCTGCATCTAACGTCGTGGTACCCAACCTTTATGTCTGTGAAAAAACTACGTGATTAATATTGAATTAGATGAAAGAGATGCTGAGAGAGTAATTAACTTTGTCTCAATCTGAATGATTGGTGGAGGTGGCACTGGTTTCTAGCAAGAGGGCAGGTCGACGCTCATACTCCCATTCAGACTTATCAACTCAAGTCGCTTCAGGGTACCTCACCTGGCAGGAGTCCTTGCCACCCTCCAGGTATCCCAGGCAGATCATGTTGTTGGTGATGTCACCGGGGTAGGAGTTCCTGCAGGAGGTATCACTCAGCACGGGCGCTTGGATGCACATGAGGACATCGGAGCGGCCTGTATGGAGACACGCGGTTGGCAGTGGTGAGGCATTGGTGCACTGGGGAAACATATTGGGGTAACGTGAGGACGGAGAAACGCATGAGCAGAAGGGGCGGCAGAAGAGAGGTCAGTGGACTCAGCGTGAAGGTCCCAGTAATGCAGAGCCAATGCAATGGGTTGGTAGCTCGTGCCCATTTATACACCTGGGGAAAAGTAAGCAGATGAAGACAGACACTGAGAAAGTAAAGGAAGACATGGGGGAGGCCTGTGCCTAGAAGTGGCCAATCACAAGTTCACACCACAACAATTACAGATATCGACAAGTCTAGTTACAACTCTTAGTCCAGTTTAAACTCCAGGTCAAGCATTACTCATGCTCAGACCTGTTATTCAATTCTTAGCTATAAACATTGAAAAAAAATCCACGAAAATATCACTAGACATAGTTCCATGTACTTATACCCTTCAATTTACTAACATTTTTTTCTTAATGAAATGTTTTAGCATGGTACAAGAATGTGTAAGTGTTGTGTCAGCTTGTATGGAGAAGAAATCAAATAATTTCTCTGATATGTTTTTGGATTGTACTGAGTGCTCTTCGGCATAACATCCGACCCTTCATCAGTAGTGTTGGGAACTCCCAAAGAGTAGAGCGAAACGCTAGACATCATGATGAACACCACGTGGCACAGCTAGAAAACACATCCGAGAGCTAAACAGAGCAACCATGAAACCGACATTGTAAAATATTTAAAAAGTCTTCCTTAAATGGCTTTTCCAGGGTAGTCGGACGTCTAAGCGCCGTGTCCTCACCGATGCTGATCTCGGTCTCGCCCCAGCCGGAGATGGTGCACATGACTCCGGTGCCGACGCAGGAGGAGGGCAGCGGGACGGCCTGCGCGTACTGGTTGAGGGTGGCGGGTGAGGACAGCTTGATGAGCATGATGTCGTTGTCTGTGGTGGCCGAGAGGTACTGGGGGTGGGGGATCGCCTTGGAAGCCTGGATCCACTGCTCGGTGCCCTCGGACACGAAGATGTTGTGCTCGCCGATGCGCACAGAGATGCTGGACGCGCTGGGGGTGGAGGAAGTGGATGACAGTAGTGATGATGATTTTTATTCATAGGGGATCGCTTATATTTAGGTTTAAGGTTTTTTGGGAGCTTTCATTTTGGCACAAGTAAAACCCATTGGCCCAGGAATGCTAATCCTTTATGGGGATCTGGTCACACAATAAAAACCTGGTTACAGCAATAACAATAAAACACGAACAAAACAATCCAAACAAAACTGTACATGGTCAAGTTCCGAATGGTAAGTTCAAGCATCAATAGGGCACAGCTAGCACGTATGGTAAGATTGGTTGTACTGTAATTCTATGCCATCATATCTACACTTCCCACCGTCACAAACCCAAATTGGCCAGTGTGGTAGATTGTCAAGTGCTGTAACTATTTGGTATAATCGTCTAAAGAAAACAAACTGCTGGGGCACATCGCCTTGTTGTGGAAAGAGGATGTCGCATACCTTTGCAATCTGTTCATAGCCCTTTCTCGTTTGTACGCATGGGTCTCATTCAAAATCATACGATCGGCTTCTTCATATTACTAGCTGTAACACTGCTGCCCCATCGGTGAAGCTCAAGTAAATATTATACTGGTAGGAACGAAGTTGTAAACTGAGTGTACCAGCCTGCAATAGATTAATGTGTCCGTCCGTCCGTCCGTCCCCTTTCAATACTTTAACGAAGTGAAATCTCGTGCTGTTGGGTGTCAAAAAAAAATCCAATGTTCCTACCAGCCCACCCTGCAGGGACCTGTTTTGTGGCTAGGTCTTAGTTCAACAACATGAGCTTCAAGTTCTTTTCAGAAAAGGTCGTGATCACCAGGTTGTAGATGTACACTGCATTTTACACAAGTCGATGTTACTTCACTGAAACCACCAGACACGCAGCACGCAACGAGATTCGCTCATGTCCACGTGCAGCACACTCACGGCATGTAGCAGTGAGCGGCAGACACAACCCACTCGCTGGAGATCAGGGAGCCTCCGCAGAAGTGGTATCCGATGTTGAGGGACACCTGCCACGGCTGCGAGTGGGCAGCGCACTCGGAGCCACCCACGATGTGGTCCTCATACATGTATGGGGCCGCCGCTGTCAGCGAAGCAGAGTGTGAATTAGTATCCTGGCTACGGTCAATTACTCAGACCCAACATTCATCGTGAGGATAATCGTCAACAGGATCATGACCATCGACATCGTGTATAAGGCCAAGTGGAGAATCCAAGGGAAGTAATGGAGACTGCTACCCCCTCCCACCCCTTGAGTCGCAAAGTAATTTGGTTATTGATATTTACCAGAAAAAAACGTATTGATATTGTAAGCCCATATTTAAATGTATGGACATTTCATGAACACCCCTCTTGGGAATATTATAGATCCGCCTCTGTTGTCTCCGTGATGATCATCATCACCAATGTTATCAGCAACATAATTACAAAGACCAATTCCAGCAAAAAAAATCACTTCGCTATGGTTACTAGAAATGTTGCATCACTTGGTCAATCGCCGTTCTTGTCTGATGGACAATATGGGCCCCACAGAAGGAATTTAGAATTTCCACTAATCGATTGGGAACAAAAACGGACATTAGCCCCATCTTGCACTTGGGTATGATTCAGTGTAAGTCAAAGACCAACTTTCCGGCACAGCCAAATAAACAACATACCTTCCTCTCCTCTGTTAGTTTGGTGATGCACATCACCATAGAATGCGCAAAGTGTTTCCGATTGAGCTAACCTAGCGGAGGCCTACGCCAAATTAAGATACCTAATGACCACTAATGATATCCATCATTCATAATAGAGGTTTTTGGGTTAGATCGCGTAAATCTAAAAATGTGTCGTGAAAACCCGCCACCACCCGACACAGCCAACTAGTAAGGGTTTTCACGTCAACAGAACGTGGCAATTCGTCACTAGTACAGCACACTGGTGTGTCAGAGAGCCAAGCCACAACATTTACGTGACAACCCTTACTAGTTGGCTGTGTCCGGTGGTGGCGGGTTTTAAAGACACATTTATATTATAATAGGTTTTCCCCTTTTTTCTGGCAACAAAACAGGTGTTAAGATGTTAAAACACCAAACTGAAACCTTTTGCAATGAATCATGACTGCAGTAACCACGATAATTGTGGTCAGAATGCATTGTTTTTTAAACTGATTGGTCCACACCAGAGACAGCTTTCTTTGGAACCTAGTCACCAATGTTGTTAGACTAGTGGACGCCAAAAGGCGCCCAAAGGCGTCCTCTGGTCCATACAATTATATATCTAACCCAAAAACCTCTTTTATAGATGATATTGGTCGCGAAAGCCCACGTGTTAAATTGATACCCATCATTGTCTGCCCTGCTTAAACCAATGCTGTTAAATTGCCAGATGTCTATAGGCAAATATTAGCACGGATGGATACGTACGGTGTGAAATAAGTTGAGCATACGTACAAAGACCATCTCTGATGGACATGGGTCCCAGTTCGACCAAAAACCAGTCACTACGCAACCAGTTAGCAATGGAAGTTACACAAAGTCTCACCAGCGGTGCCCACGAGCAGAGCGAAGATGAGTCCGTACATTGTGCAGTGAAGATCCTGAACGATGATGCTGAACTACTGCCGATGGTCCACTTTTATACCCGTTGAGAGCCCTCTTATATCATGGCCTTATTCTCATCTCTACGTTACCCAATGCCTTATGTCTGTCTCATTAAACTCGTCGATATTTTCCCACCTGAGACAAAAAATTGCGAGTCAGCGATTCCACACGTTAATATTGGTTCTATTTATTAATTGTTTTCACGGACGTTGCTTATATTGTTCTGTTTATGATCTTATACTTGGTAGAGATGATGCCATTTGTGTGTGGGTAACGTGGCAGCTGTGCTCAAGAGTATTTCTGCAGTTTGCGGACCAATTCTACAAATAGTGGAACCATCCGAATCTCTATGTAAAAGTTCCGGAATTGAGAGCTTTCCCCTGTGTCTAGCCTATGTTCGTAGAATTTAGCTAAAATTATTGGCTATAAAATTAACACTTATGTAAGCATACATGAGTATATATATATTATCCTCTAGAGGGGATATTTAGTGGTCGTTTAAGTGTAGTCTGCCAGCGGTGCTGTAATAAATCCATTGCAAGAATGCACCTTTGCCCTTTATACTTATGCCAAGGACATTACTGCATTTCTATATTAACGCATACCATGAAGTAAAAGTCAAATGTGTCATCGCCAAAGTTATATTTTATTAAGCAGATCCCTAGTTATTTTTAATTGAATAGTCAGATACATGAATACTGATCCATATATTTAGAGATTTGGCCACGTGCCAGATTCTTTGTCAAAATTCTCGTTGCTAAGCCCCCACCACTCGACAAAATTAAAACTTTTAAAAAGACAACATTCGTACATGCCAAGGTGTTGATCACATTCAAACCAATAAAGCTCAAAGGTAGTTTAAGGCTTTTCACGACATCATTTAAACTTCCCGACTCGGGCTTCATCAGGTTGGGAAGTTTAAAATCCCGTGAGGCTGCTTCAGTACGCGCCGTGACATCACCAGCTGCGAAAGCACGCGTCATATTCCCCTATCTTTTCAACGAGAACAATGTATGTCTTATTTCAAACAACTTCAAATTCATCCATTTCAACATCACATATATATCATTGTATCAGCTACGAATAGCTACAACTTAAGATGACACTGTTTTGCAACACGTCTCTCCATTGTTTCTGTTCACACCTTGCATGTGCCATGGATTCCATTGTTAACAGGTAAAGGGTGTCTCAATTAACGCTCGCCCAGTTACACAAAGTAGCTTTTCATTTGTTTCCTACGGTATCCTGTTATCGGCAGCTGTGCTGTACGTCCACGACATACAGCACTTCTCATGAACTAGAAGCATCATGAGTATATGTTTTGGTAATGATGGAGACCCAGTCTTCACTGGAGACAACACGATTATTTATAACAATAACAGTATAGGGTCCCTAACACAAAGGGGTAACGGCCCCTTCCACCCGATACCTGGGGAGGTACAGCCTCCGCGCTATCGTGCTCTCTATCACTGGGACCACACTATATCTCAGTCCTCCGGCTAGTTGCCCTAGGGGAGGCTAGCCTGACCCGACCCAGCTAAGGTCCTCGGGTCCCTGCCACTGGTCCGCTCTGTCCCGGCCCTCAGAAGGACATTGTGTCCGAAGTTTCTCAGGGTCCGACCACTGTCCCACTCAGTCCCAGCCCTTAAAAGGACAGTGGGTCCGGGGGTTCCCAGGGTCCTTTTTTAAGCTGGCTCTTTGGGTCTTTAGATTGATGACGATTGGCAAACCCGTTCAGAGGTAATGCTTATACACGTTGGCCATGGTCCCTCCGCCCCTGGCCACGCCTACTCTCTAGAACCTTCTTGAGGTACCTGGACTATTGCGTAATCTCTCAGCCCCCACTGGGTGCTTGGGGTGTGTACCTCTGGTTCCCAAATGCCCTCTGGGTTCCCTAGCTTAACGGCGTTGCCTGGCACATAACGGACTCACTGTTGTCCCCTGTTGGTTCATGGCTGGCGCTACACCAGGACAGTAGTGGTGACGGCGTGTTACATTACAATCACCACTACATTACCACCCCCCCCCCTCGTAGCAGTCAGTCATTTCGGCTGCCAGCCCCCCCCCCCCCCCTAAGAACTTCGAACAAAACCACAACCACATGTGCCTCAACGCAGCAACAATAAATAAGAAATGACCCTAATAAATACCCCATCCGACCTGCACAAGTGTACATTATTTACAATTAACAAGATCATTTGATGGCACACACACAAGCGCCCACACCCCGTGGTACACACACAATCCCCGACTGCGACAAAGTGACCGACCGTTGATCAAAGAACAAGGCGAGAAGAGGAGAACAAGCCAATACACCTACCCGAAGGAAAGGTAAGTGCAGTGGGGGCGTGAGGAATCACGGGAATTTTATGAAAATCGGGGGGGGTATTGGGTCGTGTCCGCGTAGCAGGATCATCATATGAGCCACAAGGTCTCTTTGGCAGCTCAGCAGAAACTGGTTGTGAGTGGGGAACAGCCCACAAGGGCAGGTCAGGAGAGGTAGGCCCCATCAAGGCCTCATCTGGTGGGGTGGGTGGGCGCTCGGTGTCGTGGGCGGCCAACGTCGATGGCCGTGGAGGCCTCAATCCCGTAGCATCTGAGGGTGGGATCAGATGGCTCGTCTCAGGGTTAGGTTCTGCAGATGAACACCCCGGCATGTCGGGCACGTCACACCCACGGCCCCTGCGAAATTAAGATGATGTGAAAGTGCGCGACGCGACGTAGAGTTTCAGACACGATGGGTGGACGTGCCAAGATCGCCTACCCCATTGTACCTTAACACACTGGGGGCAGACGACTCGGAAAACCTCGACCAGCCCCCTCTAGGGTCTGAGAAGTTTAGGGGGCGTTGCCAAGAGAACCTGGGAACAATGGAGCCAGGCCCGGTCCCCTTCAGCCCACGTGTGCTCAGAAACGCGGTGGCCCTGCAATTTCTCGTTGGCCAGCTGCCTCCCCCCGGAATTTTCCCTGGCGGTCTCCCGTGCCTCGGTCAGTTTTTGAATATTGAATCGGATGTGGTCTGAAAGTTTGGATTTCGAGGCGAGCGGTTTGATGCATTGCTGCACGTCTGCCGGGGGATTGACATTGCGGCCATACATGAGATAGAATGGCGAGTATCCCATTGCCGCATGGGGTGCCATACGAGTCCAGGACACCGGGGATATGGAGATCCCAATCTAGTTCGTACTCGTAAAGCTGGTGGTACAGCATTGAGATGAGTGTCCGATGAAGACGCTCAACCATCTCTTCAGTTTGTGGGTGATACGGGGAAGTGAGCACTTTTTGTGTACCAAGGCGGTTACACACATCCTTCAACAGGGTGGATGAGAAATTCCTTCCCTGACCGGTCAGCAGGTGCTCCGGAGCACCCTTGTCCAGGACGTAGCCCTGGAGAAAGGCCTCCACAATGACTGCTGCCGACTGGTTGGGGATTGGCCAGGCCATGCGCCAGCGGGTGAAATGTTCCACCCCAACCAGCAGGTACTTATTACCTCGGGAGGTAGCTGGAAAGGGCCCAAGAATGTCCAGCGCCACCAATTCATTGACACGGGACATGCAGATGGACTGTAGGGGCAGGCACGATGCCCTGCCGGTGGCTTCCACCTGGCACACTGGGTGCAGCTCAGGAGCAGATTGGCCACATATTTCACCATACCTGGCCAATAGAAATCGAGCTGCAGCGTGCTAAGTGTTTCTGGACCCCCAGGTGCAAGAGGTGCTCGTGAGCAGCTAAAACGGCCTTTCCGCGCAGAGCGGTCGGCACGACAATTTTATAACGGCGCGAGCTACCATCCCAGGTCATCAACAGACCTTCCCGCAGAATGATGGGCGCGAATCCTTCCCGATACTTTCAAGTTCCTAAGTCGCTCAGCACGGCGGTGTGACTTAAGGAGGAAGGCGTCCTCCATTTGGAGACGCCCCCAGTCCACGAGGCATGAATTGAGTAATGCATCTCGAGTGGATGAACCGTCCAGCCCCCCAGAGGAGCCACCTCCAGGAACGGCCACCTCAGCTGCAGCAGCGAGTGGCGGGGGGGGGGGGGGGCGCATGAACAACGGGCTGTTTGCAACGGCTGGAACCCTAAAAGCACGCATACCGGTTGCCAGCGGGCAGCCGTGACAGCGCTTCTCTGTTCGAGTGTTTAGTCAACTTGCGGTCGGTTACCGGAAACAAGTAGTCCTGCAGGACCTCGAGCCAACGGGACAATTGGCCAGATGGTTGGTCAGTTCACAAGCCATATTGTAATGCCGCATGGTCGGAACGTACAGTAAAATGCCTGCCGTATAAATTTGGCCGGTATTGCTGGTTAAAAAACACGATGGTCCAATTGCTCACGGCGAGTTATGCAGTAGCGTTGCTCTGCCAGAGATAGAACTCTGTTGCCATAAGCGACAACCCGTTCACCCTGTCAATCACCTGGGACAGCACACCACCGATGCCCATGTTGCTGGCATCCGTGTCGAGAATAAACGGCCGTGTCAGGGTAGCACAAGGGAGGGGCATTTGCGAGGGAATCTCGAAGTGCTCTGAACGCGGCCTCCTCCTCCTGTCCCCAATGGATCTCTTGCCCATTCGCTGTCAGAGCATGAAGGGGTTTAGCTATCGACACAAATCCCGCAACAAATCCTCGATAATACAAAGCAAATCCAATCAAACTCCTTACTTCTCCCACAGAAGTGGGAGTCGGCCATGTACGCACGCAGCTCGTTTTCTCAGGGTCAGTTGCAATGCCCGACTGGCTGACAATGTCCCAGGTAATGCACCGATTCCCACAAGAGGTGGCATTTTTCCGGATAAATTTGAGGTTAGCTGCTTGCATTTCAATTAATACAACCAGCAGATGATCCAAATGTTTCTGGAATTTACGACTGAAGACAATTACATTGTCGATGTAAATGAGGCATGAGTCACACTGGAGCCCAGCGAGAACCAATTCCATGAGATGCTGGAACGTAGCTGGAGCCGAGTGAAGGCCCATGGGCAGCTGATTAAACTTGAAAAGGCCCTATGGCGTGCAAAGAGTGGTTTTAGGTTTGGACGCCTCATCCAATAGCAGTTGCCAAAATCCAGAAAGAAGGTCCAATGTGGAAAAATAATGTGCCCCCGCTAAGGCATCCAGCGACTCGT